CAGTGAGAGATTTTATTTTCCTGGGCTCCAAAATCACTGCAGATGATGACTGCAGCCATGAAATTAAAAGATGCTTTCTCCTTGGAAGAAAAGTTATGTCCAACCTAGACAGCATATTAAAACGCAGAGACATTACTTTGCCAACAAAGGTCTGTCTAGTCAAAGCTATGGTTTTTCCAGTAGTCATGTAAGGATGTGAGAGTTGGACTATAAAGAAAGCTGAGCACTGAAGAATTGATGCTTTTGAACACTGGTGTTGGAGAAGACTCTAGAGAGTCCCTTAGCCTACTAGGAGATCCAACCAGTCCATCCTGAAGGAAATCAGTCCTGAATATTCATTGGAAGGACTGATGGTGAAGCTAAAACTCCAATACTTTGGCCGCCTGATGCAAAGAGCTGACTCATTTGAAGAGACCCTGATGCTGGGAAAGATTGAAGGCAGAAGAAGGGGGCGACAGAGGGTGAGATGGTTGGATGACATCACCAAGCCGATGGACGTAAGTTTGAGTAAACTCCGGGAGTTGGTGATAGACAGGGAAGCCTAGTGTGCTGCAGTCCATGGGGTTGCAAAGAGTCAGACATGAGTGAGCGACTGAACTGAACTGATTTTGAACAAAAAGCCCCAGGTTCTCATCCTCCGTGGACTCATGGGTTATGCTGCCAATCCTGCTTGGGGTCCTGGGGCACTTCATGAGGACACAGTGGGCCACTTCAAAAGGCAAAGAAAGGTGGGAGAGAGGGAAGGAAGAAGAGCAGGAGACTCTCGCTCTTTCCCGTTTATCTCACTTGGGCAGGCTGGTCAAGATTTACTTCCAGAACACTCTTCGACGGCCCTGACTCACTTTTCTCCAGGCTCCCACCTCTGGCTCCTTCTTTCAACCCAGGTTTCAGTTCAATTTTTCCTCTCAGAGAGGCCAAGTGTACCCCCCTGCCATTCATCAAAGCATCGTGTTCTCTGTCTTTGTAACTCCTGCTATAGTCTAGGATTTTATTGATCAGTCTGTCCACTGTATTCACGAGCAGGGACACACACACACACACAGAATGTGGCCTCCTTGGAGGCAGAGACCTGTGCTCTCCTCCCCCTTTCTACTCCTCAGGACTTGAACTTCCGCCTGCCCCCAGGCAAGTTATTCAGTCTCCCTGTATCTCTAAGACAGAGACACATGATGACAAGAAGCAAGTGGACTGAGACAAACGCCTGATTCAGTGTGGCGTGGAACAGGTGGAACCGATCACACCGGTGAATGAATGGAACTGATGATGGCTGAGCACCGCCAGGTACACGGGTCTGTGCCAGGGTTGGCTTTTTTCACTTCTTATCAACCCATCTTACAGATGAAGAGACTGAGGCTCAAAGAGATTGAATAACTGGAGGAAAGTAAAAGTATTAGTCACTCAGTCATGTCTGATTCTTTGCGACCCCAATGACTGTAGCCAACCAGGCCTCTCTGTCCAGGGGATTCTCCCCTGGTAAGAATATAGGTGGTAGTTTAGTTGGTAAGTTGTGTCCGACTCTTTCAACCCATGAACTGTAGCCCGCCAGGCTCCATTGTCCATGGGATTCTCCAGGCAAGAATACTAGACTGGGTTGCCATTTCCTTCTCCAAGGGATCTTTCCCACTGAGGAATTGAACCCATGTCTCCTGCGTCACAGGCAGATTCTTTACCATCTGAGCCAGCTAGTTGACAAACTTGAGCAAAGTCATGCCAAAATGAACCCTCGGATCCCTGATTGGAAATCAGGCTGGCTGAAAGGCAGCACCTGTGCCCTCCCTAAGCCGCCCCCTCTTCGAGCTGCAAGAATCCCACGTGCGGCCTGGGCTCTTCCAGGTCCAAGGTGCGTTTCTTCACCCCGGGGGTCCTGTGGCCACTTCACCCCTCACACAGTCCTGAACACAGGCTGTTTCACAGTCGTGGCCCCTGGTTTCCTCTCACACCTGCCCAGCCTCTGCCTGCACCTCCAAGAACAGACTCTGCCTCTTTCCAGTCTTGTTATTTTTAGAACTTTTACTGTTTATTAGAAAAGCAATCTACTTCTGTGCAAGCAAAAATGGTTTAAAAGTTTTGCTCATTTGTAAAAACCTCCAATACTAGTATATACAGTCATTAATTCCCTTTATAATTAATGCAAAAGCTCCAGCATTTCTATTAACGGAGAAGCCAGCCCAAGCATGGAGCAGGCAGTACTGATGCCAGGGGTCTGTAATTACAGACATCGGTTCTGTCGTGACTGATAAAACTAGGGGGGGGGACGGGGACCCTGAATGTGACTGTGAGCTGCGAAGCGGCTGCAGGATCGGGATTTGCCATTTTACCAGCAATTTCGCAGCTGTGCACATTAGTGGGACGTCGTAGAAATCCTCAGGATGTTGGCGTGGAAGCTATTTTTGCACAAACTGAGGATTTTTTTAGATAAAGCCCTTCATTTAGAGGCCAGAACACGGCGAGTCCACTGGGTCTGTGTCACACTGATGCTGAGAATGAACACCTTCACGGGGGAGTCGGCGGCTACACGCCTCTGAGCAGCGGCCACCAGCCCAGGACCACAGCAAGGACGGTACCACCAGCGGGGAGCATCCCGCCTCTGCTCGCCCAAGCTGGCCCGCTGTCCTCCTGCCCCCAGCGCGCCTGAGTCCCCGGACCCCCAGACTGGAGAGGGGAGCCCTGTCCGCTGAAGACCGCAGAGCCCCCAGGGCGCAGTCCCCCTGCCATGCCCGGCCCCGCCTGCCCCTCGCACGTTACCTCTCTGTGTCGCTGTCGCTGGACGCCACCTCCTCCAAGGCTGCTTGCAGGTCGGCGATGCGCCGGATGGACGTCTCCAGGTCAGTCTGCAGGGTCTGTCTGATTGCGGCGAGCTCCTCCACGTACTTCTCCTGGGGACAGAGACCACAGCACACGTTGGCCCTGGGCGAGACCCTCACTCACCTACGAGAGTTCTGGGGAGGAGCCTGGTGTTCACCGGGTCCCTGTGACATGGTGGGTACCCATGAGGGGCTCTCCCTAAGGAAGGGCTTATGGAGCCTCAGATAGATGCTGCAGATTTCAGAGCAGGAACAGATGCCTCAGGTGCTCACGCACAGTAGGAATGCTGGACCTGGCCTGCGCGACCCCACACAGGATGCCCTGGATGGGTGGCGGACATAAGACTCAGTGATATTTTCCCAGGAGAGCTGCTGAGGCCGGTTCTGGAGGCTGAGTCCTGCCCCAGGGATGGATGTGGGGGGAGGTTGGGGGGAGGACTGAAGAGCAGGTCCCTCTCAACTCTGTCACCCAGACTCCCCCAGCCCTCCTGCCGCCCTCAAAGGCAGCACGGGCAAAGACAGAAACCCCAGCGGAGCTCCCTCTGCAGCTGGCCAGCACCACTGAAGTGTACTGAGACCTCTCCACGCCCAGCGGCGTGTTCAGTGTTTAGGGCCCCTGCCCTCACTCACTGCTCACGAGCCTGGCACGCAGCCCTATCACTGTCCCCATTTCACAGATGAAGAGATGAGGCCTGGGGGAGCAAAGGCTTGACTGGAACTCAAGCTGGAACTTGAGCAGATGCAGCAGACTCCATCTGTGCGCATCCGTACTTTCCACCCTAACCAGATTTCATCCAGACTCTCTGGAAAGCCTCTGACTGCCACGTGTCACGTTTTCCACACACTGCTCCCCGTTCGCACAATGACTGTCGGCTGAGGGTGAGTCTGCCCTCCAGGGGATGCTGTGTAGAGGCGTTGCTGGTTGTCAATGGGGGTCTGGTGGTCTCTCGCAGAGCAGAGACCAAGGGTGCTGTCCAGCATCCTCAGTTCACAGAGCAGCCCCCACCACTGAGGACCGATTACTTCACACGAGTGTCACCAGCGTCCAGCCTGAGAAACCCTGCGTTCACCCCAGAGACCCACCATCTGGGAGCTAATCCTAGCGAGGGAAGGGGTCAAAAGGCAGGGCAGGGTTTCCCTGCTGGCCCAGAGGTTAAGAATCTGCCTGCCGATGCAGGGGACACGAGTTTAACTCCTGGTCTGGGAAGGTCCCACATACCGCAGGGCAACTAAGCCCGTGTGTCACAACTACTGAGCCTGCGAGTCACAACTACTGAGGTCTGCAAGCCTAGAGCCTGTGCTCTGCAACCAGAGAAGCCACGGCAATGAGATGCTCATGCACAGAAACTATAGAAAGCCAGTGTGCAGCAGTGAAGACCCAGGGCAACCAACAGTAACATCAACAATAAACATGAAAAAAGCAGGCAGCAGAGCAAGGCCCTGGACCCAAGGACGCTTGGAATGGAGCTACTGGTGATACCAAGAGCCTGAGAGCCGCCCCGTCACCCAGCCGCGGGGATTGGGAGGGAGACTGCAGTGCGTCACTCTGATGCTCTCAGACAGAAGTCAACATTAGCAATTAGGATGGTGCCAGCAGGGAATCCTTAGTGAAATAGTGTCGAGTAAGCAGAAAAGAACAGAAAATTTTATGCCCAGGTCTCCATGCAAACAGCACACGTGCAGTTGGGAAAACATGTGGAGAGCTGAGAATATTTACGGATAGGAGCAAAGGTGGGTGAGGGGTAGGATTTTTCCTTCAAGCTGCTCTTAGGTCAAGTTTCTTTTTGACTGTTGTCTTGGGCACCAGGTATATCCCAACTGATGAGAGTGTGAAGGGTGAAAACCTAAGGACTGTGGGTCCATTTATGGCTCTCAGCTCCCCAAGACCCACCAACAGCACAGACCTTCTCTGAGCCTGGGATGGCTTTTGTTTATTTTGCAGATGAGGAAACTGAGGCCAGGGAAGTCACTCGGGGCAGGCTGCCTCACTCACCGGCCAGTGATCTTTCTGGGGCTCTGTCTGCCTGCCCCTGGGAAAGCCAGCGAGGCCCAGGGCTCCTTTTGCAGGGACACACTCAGCTCCCTGTAGCAGGCCAGCTGGTCCATCCACGGTATCGTAAGTCTGTGCCTTTTCCTTGATTGTGCATCCTTTTCAATTTGACTGAGTGAGCAAAGACCAAGGAAGCGGAAGGGTCAAGCCCGACTGATGAGGGAAGGGGCGGCGTGGAGAGGTGGGGGTGCGCACATGGGCTGGTGGAACACCGCGGCTGACTGAAACTGCCAGCTGTGAGATCCCCATCTCGGTGCTGATGAGGTGAGCGGCGGTGTGAGGCGGGGCCCCCAGCCAGGAGGCTGGTGGGCTGTCAGAGGAAATAACGCACACTGCGGGACGGCGAGGGGGTGCTTGTCAGCTCAGCAAGACACCAGGAAGACGGCTGGGTGCACAATCCCAGCAGACGGCAGGAGCATTGCCCGGGCTCAGCTCCTTGCGAGTGGGCCAGGATGACAGCGTCCCTGGGAGGCGAGGGGACGAGGCATCGGTGTGTTTGTAAGACAGGCCCCGTCAGGGCCACGCCAGGCTTCTTTTAGAGACGAGCAGCAGAGCGGCAAGAAGACCCGCCCAAGGCCACATAGTCGAGGGACCACAAAGCCAGGCAGCCAGGTCCTGGCTCCCAGGTGAGGCCCTCGTGCCACGTGAGCCAAGTGAGATGAGCCCAGATAGCCCCTCCCAGCTGTGCCCGGGTGACCCTGGCCCATGTCAACATCATGCAGAGGGAACAACAAGGTCCTCCGACCTTGACCTGCAGGGCCCTCCTGGGGGACAGGTCAACATCATTCAGAGGGAACAACAAGGTCCTCCGATCTTGACCTGCAGGGCCCTCCTGGGGGACAGGTCAACATCATGCAGAGGGAACAACAAGGTCCTCCGACCTTGACCTGCAGGGCCCTCCTGAGGGACAGAGGACAGGGACGGGGCAGGTGCTGTGTCTTAGGGATGGGGGGCTCTGGGCTGGGACAAGCAGGTGGTCAGAGAAAGTGGGGACCTGATCTGGTAGATAGGTCTGGTAGGATCAGACCTGGATCTAGTCTGATCCAGACTATCATGATCATGAAAGTAGGCTCTGGAGCCAGGATGCCTGGGCTCAAATCCCATCTCTACCACCTACAGGCTATGTGACCTTCAGCAAGTTACTCAACCTCTCTGATCCCCATGGGTAAAATGGAGGCAGCAGGGGCCCCTTCGCAGGGCTGCTGTGAGCACAGAATGAGCGTGGCAGAGAGGAAAGGCTTGGCCAGCAGTGGCGTTGCTGTCTTTTAATTCTCAGAGAAGAGCAAGCAGCAACCGGGTGGGTGTCCCCCCAGCGCTGCGGTGGTCTGCCGAGGTCACACAGAGAATAAGGAGGCTGGAATGCAGGCCTCCGAAGGCTTTTCACCACCTGCAGAGGAGAAGCAGGGGTGGAAAGCAAGGGCAGCTTAAAGGGTGAGTTACATAGACAGCAAGGAGAGTCGAGAGCAAGAAAACCATCCACAGACGGACGAGGCAGGTGGTTCCGGGACCTGCCGCTGCCCCCCTCACTCTCCACCACGCCCCTTGCCCTCTGGGCTCCACCCTCCAATTTGCCTGGGGACACACACCACGCTCAGCGGAAACCTCCCAAGACGGATTTGGGAAATTCAGAGTCTGTGTCATCAGCAATCAGCACACCTTTCCTGCTTCAGCTGGAAAAGCAGGTAGTCCGCTGATTGCAGAGACCCAGTCATTAGGCAAAGTGGATGCGGCAGCCCAACCAGTCTCTCGGAGGCAGACAAAACAAGCCCCTGGCAGAGACAGCTCGAGAGACACGGGAGGGGGGCACCAGAGAAGAGGGCACACAGAGGGCCAGGCCTTCTTCCACCCCCGGAGCAGCGCCTGGTCAGGACTGCTGCTACACAGGTGACGCTGCATTCTGAGGCCAAGGGTAAGCCTGTGGTCTTCTGTGCTTTTCTCTTTTTAGGGACATGGGGCAGGAAGAAGCTGGAGGAAAAATTAGGCCAGAAAACTATTTAGATAGTAAGATGTATACAGCAGAAACCACTAATGAATAACCCATATGTCCACATTACTCTGTAGCTATAACAGTGATTGCGTGCTCAGGAGCCTCAGTCATGTCTGACTCTTCGCAGCCCTATGGACTGCAGTGCACCAGGCCCCTCTGTCCATGGGATTCTCTGGGCAAGAATACTGGAGTGGGTTGCCGTTTCCTCCTCCAGGGGATCTTCCCGACCCAGGGATCGAACCCGCATGTCTTACATCTCCTGCATTAGCAGGCAGGTTCTTTGCCACTAGCGCCACCTGGGAGTGATACATACATTGTAATAGACATAAAACACTGACATAAAGTATATATTCACTATATATATATAGGTATGTATGCATGCATATTACATATCATTCATTCAACAAACACTGAGCATGAACTATGTGCCAGCACTGACCCAGGTGCAGGAGGTATAGACAAACTCCTAACTTCCGCAGAGCATCACTCTTTTAGGGCCCTAATCTACCTGTATTGCTGAGTCTAGAACAGAGCAGGCACTCAAGATGTCTTAGGATTGAGTGAATGGTGTTACTGCATGACTGTAAGAGGCAAATAAAGGAGGGAACAGGGTGATACTCATTTAGCTGCACATAATACACACCATGCATACAGACATCAACACAAGACCACGTGGTATGTATGTGTGCTGGCCGCCCTCGCACTGTGTAAGAGACTCATCAACCCTGTTAAACGCCCAAGCTGCTCCCCTTGGAACATGCTGTGTGGAGCTGATCATGTAGGGAGCAGTTCATACAATAATTAGTGGCTGCAATTAACATCGTCTCCTCTTGTGAGGTTCAATTAGAGGCTAATATTTAAAACCGTTGTCTGGTTCCTCTGCCCAGGGCAACTCCACCTTCAGAGGCCCCTCTTCTGTCTGCAGACACAGGAGACTCTCATATGTCACTTTCTGTGGCTCTGGAGGTTGCCTTGTTCACTTTTGGGGGTATCCCACAAGGCTTCCCAAAGTTAATTTCACCGAGTTTACAGTAG